GATGATGGGGGTAATTGCCTCAAAATTTTAGGAATTAGGGGCCAAAAAGGGGCAAAAAACAAGCATTTTTCTAGTTTCAGGACAATAACTTGTGTGTAAGTGTATGGATCTTTCTGAAATTGTACTACAAGGTTCCATATCACAAAGGGAAAGCTGGGTTGGAGTTTGGGGGTAATTGCCCTAAACGTTTAGGAATTTGGGGCCAAAAAGGGGCCAAAAAACACATTTTTCTAGTTTCCAGACAATAACTTGTGTTCAAGTGTATGGATCTCTCTGAAATTGTACTGCAAGGTACCATACCACAAAGGGAAGGCTGGGATTGAGTTTGGGGGTGATGAATCATAAGGGGGTTCAAAAAATTTGGGGGGGGGATTTTTTTTTTTTTCCTTTTTTCCTTTTTTTTTTCTTTTAAAATTTTCCATTTTAAGTTGGTTATTTCTGATTTATATTTAAAAGCAAATAATAATGATATGGTAGGAGATACACACTAAACAGGATGTGTAAATTATTATATAATAAGTATTGTGCAATAGCAAGAAATTTTCAATTGCACAGTATTGCACAATAGCAAGAAATCTTCAATTGCACAGTATTGCGCAATAGCAAGAAATCTTCAATTGCACAGTATTGCGCAATAGCAATAATCCAATAGCAAAATATTGCGCAATAGCAAGAAATTGTCAATTGTATAGTATTGCGCAATAGCAAGAAATATTTAATTGCACAGTATTGTGCAAGAGAAGATACTTCGTATAAATTGATTATTTCTTGACCAATTTCAATGGGGTTTTATTCTTGAATTCTTGGGGTTTTTTAATATGCTGAATCATACCGTGTATTCAGTTTTTGGATTTTGGGCCCCGTTTTTAAATTGGTCCACATTGAGGTCCAAAGGGTCCAAAATTAAACTTTGTTTGATTTCATCAAAAATTGAATTATTGGGGTTCTTTGATATGCAGAATCTAACCGTGTATTTAGATTCTTAATTTTTGGTTCGGTTTTCAAATTGGTCTACATTAAGGTCCAAAGGGTCCAAAATTAAACTTAGTTTGATTTTAACAAAAATTGAATTCTTAGGGTTCATTGATATGCTGAATCTAAACATGTATTTAGATTTTTGATTATGAGCCCAGTTTTCAAGTTGGTCCAATCGGGGTCCAAAATTAAACTTTGTTTGATTTCAACAAAAATTGAATATATGGGGTTCTTTGATATGCTGAATCTAACCATGTATTTAGATTTTTGATTTTTGGGCCCCGTTGTCAACTTTGTCCACATTGAGGTCAAAAGGGTTCAAAATTAAACTTTGTTTGATTTCATCAAAAATTGAATTCTTGGGGTTCTTTGATATGCTGAATCTAACCATGTATTTAGATTTTGGATATTGGACCATAATAGGTGAATGTCCAATTTAAAATTTTTAAGTTCTTAGACCACATTCATTCTGTGTCAGAAACCTATGCTGTGTCAAATATTTAATCACAATCCAAATGCAAAGCTGTATCAAGCTTGAATGTTGTGTCCATACTTGCCCCAACTGTTCAGGGTTCGACCTCTGTGGTCGTATCAAGCTGCGCCCTGCGGAGCATTTTATTATATCCATATAGGAGCTCTTTAAAAAAAGAATGAAATTAAACAAGTATTAGCTTTAAACTTAATGGTCTAAATATATCTTAGCTGTTGTTTTGCTGAATAGCACAGTTTTATCCACTTTGCTGATCAAATACATTCTTAACACTAAATAAAGAACACCAAAGCTCTTATTTGACTGAAATTTTGATTATCTCTGCCTGCATACTTTCTCACATAGAAAACCATAGTTAATTTGTCAGTAAGCAGAAGATGCTGACTTTGTTGATGCAATCAGTTTCACTCCTTTTGCGATTCCCACAAATTCAGTATTTTTACGACCGCAAAAAAGTTTTTGTGGTCGTATATTGGTATGACGTTGGCGTCGTCGGCATCGTCCGAAGACACATTGGTTTTCGCACTCTAACTTTAGTTTAAGTGAATGGATCTTTATGAAATTTTACCACAAGGTTCAATACCACAAAAGGAAGGTTGGGATTGATTTAAGGGGTTATGGTACCAACAGTAAAGGAATTAGGGGCCAAAAAGGGGCTAAAAAAAATAAGCATTTTTGTAACTTCCAGACATAACTTGTGTGTTAGTGTATGGATCTCTCTGACATTGTACCACAAGGTTCCATATCACAAAGGGAAGGCTGGGATTGATGATGGGGGTAATTGCCTCAAAATTTAAGGAATTAGGGGACAAAAAAGGGGCAAAAAACAAGCATTTTTCTAGTTTCATGACAATAACTTGTGTGTAAGTGTATGGATCTTTCTGAAATTGTACTACAAGGTTCCATATCATAAAGGGAAAGCTGGAATTGAGTTTGGGGGTAATTGCCAAAACATTTAGGAATTGGGGGCCAAAAAGGGGCCAAAAATAAGCATTTTTCTAGTTTCCAGACAATAACTTGTGTTCAAGTGTATGGATCTCTCTGAAATTCTACTGCAAGGTACCATACCACAAAGGGAAGGCTGGGATTGATGATGGGGGTAATTGCCTCAATATTTTAGGAATAAGGGGCCAAAAAGGGGCAAAAAAACAAGCATTTTTATAGTTTCAGGACAATAACTTGTGTGTAAGTGTATGGATCTCTCTGAAATTGTACTGCAAGGTACCATACCACAAAGGGAAGGCTGGGATTGATGATGGGGGTAATTGCCTCAATATTTTAGGAATTTGGGGCCAAAAAGGGGCCAAAAAACACATTTTTCTAGTTTCCAGACAATAACTTGTGTTCAAGTCTATGGATCTCTCTGAAATTGTACTGCAAGGTACCATACCACAAAGGGAAGGCTGGGATTGAGTTTAGGGGTGATGAATCATAAGGGGGTTCAAAAAATTTGGGGGGGGGGATTTTTTTTTTTTCATTTTTTTTTTCTTTTAAAATTTTCCATTTTAAGTTGGTTATTTCTGATTTATATTTAAAAGCAAATAATAATGATATGGTAGGAGATACATACCAAACAGGATGTGTAAATTATTATATAATAAGTATTGTGCAATAGCAAGAAATTTTCAATTGCACAGTATTGCACAATAGCAAGAAATCTTCAATTGCACAGTATTGGGCAATAGCAAGAAATCTTCAATTGCATAGTATTGCGCAAAAGCAAGAAATATCCAATAGCACAATATTGCGCAATAGCAAGAAATTGTCAATTGTCCAGTATTGCGCAATAGCAAGAAATATTAAATTGCACAGTATTGTGCAAAAGAAGATACTTCGTATAAATTGCTTATTTCTTGACCAATTTCAATGGGGTTTTATTCTTGAATTCTTGTGGTTCTTTAATATGCTGAATCTAACCGTGTATTTAGTTTTTGGATTTTGGGCCCCGTTTTTAAATTGGTCCACATTGAGGTCCAAAGGGTCCAAAATTAAACTTTGTTTGATTTCATCAAAAATTGAATTATTGGGGTTCTTTGATATGCCGAATCTAACCGTGTATTTAGATTCTTAATTTTTGGTTCGGTTTTCAAATTGGTCTACATTAAGTTCCAAAGGGTCCAAAATTAAACTTAGTTTGATTTTAACAAAAATTGAATTCTTAGGGTTCTTTGATATGCTGAATCTAAACATGTATTTAGATTTTTGATTATGGGCCCAGTTTTCAAGTTGGTCCAAATTGGGGTCCAAAATTAAACTTTGTTTGATTTCAACAAAAATTGAATATATGGGGTTCTTTGATATGCTGAATCTAACCATGTATTTAGATTTTTGATTTTTGGGCCCCATTATCATCTTTGTCCACATTGAGGTCAAAAGGGTCCAAAATTAAACTTTGTTTGATTTCATCAAAAATTGAATTCTTGGGGTTCTTTGATATGCTGAATCTAACCATGTATTTAGATTTTGGATATTGGACCATAATAGGTGAATGTCCAATTTAAAATTTTTAAGTTCTTAGACCACATTCATTCTTTGTCAGAAACCTATGCTGTGTCAAATATTTAATCACAATCCAAATGCAAAGCTGTATCAAGCTTGAATGTTGTGTCCATACTTGCCCCAACTGTTCAGGGTTCGACCTCTGCGGTCGTATCAAGCTGCGCCCTGCGGAGCATTTTATTTGTTTTGATATGTATTGTCTTTCTATGTTGTGATGTTACACTATTATTTCAGAAAAAGGGTGAAGGTTTGGTACCATTAAAACGTTTAAACCCGCTGCATTTGTTTGCACCTGTCCTAAGTCAGGAATCTTATGTTCAGTAGTTGTCATTTGTTGATGTGGTTCATAAGTGTTTCTCGTTTCTCGTTTTTTATATAGATTAGACCGTTGGTTTTCCTGTTTGAATGGTTTTACACTAGTAATTTTTTGGGGCCCTTTATAGCTTACTGTTCAGTGTGAGCCAAGGCTCCGTGTTGAAGACCGTACTGTGACCTATAATGGTTTACTTTTATAAATTTTTACTTGGATGGAGAGTTGTCTCATTGGCACTCATACCACATCTTCTTATATCTATTGTTAGTGTATTTATGAGATTTAAACATCAGTACACTTTACTGTAGTCTCTAATTTTCCTGTGTTTCTTAAAATTTAATAGCGTGCTCCTACGTGACCCGGAGAAAATTATGGCGATCTAGACAGCAAAAACAGTGATAATGACATTGTAATAAAAAAAATCCTGGGTCATGTTGGCGCAGGCACTTAAAAACTAAAAAATCGTTGTACGGAACACCTCCAAAGTGAATAATAATTTCAATATCTGAATAATAACAGAAAGTTTACCCCCCTCACCTCACCCAGTTGCTGAAATTAATGGTTTTGAAGTTCATCCAAACAAACTTCAAACCTCAGGGAATATTTTAACATGATAAGTAGCTTTCCAAAACAAAATTTGAAAAATAAGAAAATAGGGGGACCAAAACGGGGGCTTATCGTACCTTGTCCTTTGCCTTAAAAGTAAAATAAAATTATAAAGATATTCCTTTATTTTATAGATTACATATATTGGTGATGATTACTGATATGACTATATAATATATCATTACTTAGACAATACTATAATTTGTCAAAATGAGTTATCTTTCTTTAACCTGGTGTTAATTCTTACATATATTGTAAAATATCTTAGACAGATTTTGTCACAAATTTATCTTGACAAATCTCGTTACAATCCAATTTACATGAAAAATGAAATAGTAATGATGGACCAATGGTCCTTTTCTTTAGAAAATCCTTTTTAATTGTGGACATGTATATAATGTTAAATAACAAACTACTGTACTTTGAAAATAAGTAAAATGAATTTACTAGAAACATTTGTTCATTGACATTTTCATTCAAGTTTCAAATACCTTCAATACTTTGGCAAATGTATTGCTGTGAAAAAAACCCAAAATAAATCAGTTACCATCAGAAGTTGTTGTAAAGAAGGAAATTTTGAAAACCAAGTGACTGAGATGTTAATTACTACACAAGACCACCTTAGATGTCTGTTAAGATGATATCTAAAGAAGTATTTAGTACTTAATTTAATCATGATAATTCTCTTTGTAAGGTTTTATTTGATGTTAGTTTTTTTTGTATTTTGTATTTGCATACACCTTAAAAAATTTAAAATTGAAAAGTTATTGTAGACAACTGATAATATTGGCCTCAAAATATCCTGTTGTGTCATTGTCTGACCTCCTAATGATATATACCCAAGATCTCCCTTGTTTCATATTCTTAATTTTGTCCATAAACTTCTTTTTGTGAACCAATAACTAAAATGATAAAAAAATTATGGGGAAGTTATTTGTGGGTGATTTTTAATTGTAGTAATTAACACAAGTGAACAATAAAATACTATGGCTGAAGTGTAGTCACTTTCCTTCTTTTTAATTATATTCTGATCCCTATAGATTAAATACAAATATGTTTTATAGCTTTAGTGCTTTAAAGTCTGGTCTATTTTTAACGTCTAAGTCATATTAGTTTAACACAATGTATTTTACCCTTCTTGTTTTTGTCACTTTCCCATGCATTGCACCCAATCCATAAAACATCTTTTTTGTCAATACTAAGACTCCAAGGTGATTCTATTCCTACACTTTTAACATCCTTATATGCAATAACTTCCCCATCAGGATTTAAAACATGTATAGCATGATTCAAAGAATCAGACACTAAAATCATGTCTGTAGAGGTAATTGCCAAATCCCTTGGATGGAATTTAACTTGGTCAGAATTAATACTATTACAGCCATTGTAGGTCCAATGGAGCTGTCCCCTGTAATCTAACATTACTACCCTTCCTTCATGTTCTTTGTTTATAAGATCTACAACTACTACCTTTTCATTCAAAGTATTGATTCTATAAGGATATGATAGCAGTCTCTTATTTTCCCTATCATATTCAATAGTATGTTGTATGTTACCATCGAGGGCCATAACCACAATTCTTCTGATACTGTTTTTTGTTACAGGTAATCCAGAAGATTCTGTCAAACCTAAAATTATCTTATTATCTCTAGTGACATGAACTCCTAAAGTTTTAAGTGGAGAAAAGGACTGAAATGACTTTAACTGAACATATGTGGTGTAAAATTTGAGGCCATTTTCTCCACATGACACAAGTATTTCTCCATCCCCTGTCCATGACATATCAAAGGTTGCTGTCATAACTTCTTTCTCTAATTTGATATCATGATTTTCTATTTTTATTTTCAGTAACTTTTTATTATAATAGCTTCCTATAAATGCAGCATTGTCACTAGATAAAAGTATACATGGCACATTTTCAACATCACTTTGATAAGTGTCAATAAGTTCAAAGTCTGGAACTGTATAAAGATCACCAAACATTTTACTTCCTATATTCTCTTGCAGATTGCTAGGAATAAACTTTGAATTTTTTTGTTTAATTTGTTTAACTGAATACTTTGGCGATGACGTATCTAAGGTTTTACTTGTAGAGAAAATGTCTGCCACATGATGAGACTGAAGTGCTTGATTTATATTGCTCAACCTTGTTTCCAACTCATCCTCTTTCTTTGTCATAGCAGAAAGTTCAGTTTTTATCATATTTTCTGAAGACTTCCATTTTTTTTCAAGTGTTTGTAAAAGGTCTTCAGCAAATTTTGAAATAGCTTCTATCATTTCCTTCTCAGTTTTCAGAATTATGTCTCTTGTTTCTTGGAAATTCGTATCCCCATCTGATAGTATTTTTAAAAGGTTATTTTTTTCTTTTTTTAAAAACTGGAGATTGGATTCAATTGTGTCTTCTACTTTGTTTATGTCAGCAAGAAGTCCTTCATAAACTTCATCAAGGGCTTTGTATTCATGTTTTTGATGGACCTCAATTGTGCATTTCGAACAAGCGGGCTCGCTGCAGTCTTTACAATAGACAAAGCATTTTTCTTTACCATGAATTGTACATTGCATATTTTGAAGGTCCACTTTACGCATTGTTTTGGCAAAATCCATTGTCTCAATATCTTTTATATTTATTATTTCATGTTCCATAGAAGCCTTGCTTTTATTGTGTATCTTTGAACAGCACAGGTTACATAGAAATAGCTCACAGTTAACACATTTCCACAGAATCTCTGGTGAAATCTCACAGAACTGACATACAGCCGGAGTTTGTGCTTTCCCTATAGACTGAGAAAAGGCCATTTTGGGTATAATATCCAATCACTATCAGTGATTAAAAATAGGTTTACTTCCCCATTGTTAGAAAACTATCAAAGGTAAAACGGCAACATGGTCATAGTTTACATTTAAGTAAATAGCAGATAATGTTTTTATCATTCAAATATTTAAAGAACTGATAACAAGAAAAGACAGGAGTTAAACATGTGCAACTATACAAATCTTTTAGAAATACAGTAAATATGAATTTAGCAGTATGTTTTTTTTTTATTTTGATGGAAGAGAAAGTATTTTAATTACACCATGACAAGTTATAGATCAAGTTAGAATTTTGTTCAAATACAATGAATTTTAACTGGTAGGGGACTATGTCTTGCCATGCAAAACTTACAGAATGCTTGTTAGTCCCCTACCTACGAAGTCGAAGGGGACTTTAGGTTTGCACTCCATCCGTCTGTCCGTCTGTCCATCTGTCCGTCTGTCCATCTGTCCATCCGTCAGTCCGGCAAATCAGCTTTCCACACTTTTTTTCTTTGTTCTTGAAGATATTGATTTGATATTTGGTATATAGTTTTATCATGACAAGTTATAGATCAAGTTCGAATTTTGTTCCGTTCTGATGATTTAGTCCAGAGTAATGGACCATAACTCTGGACCATATCTAATGTTAATAGAGTACTATGTTGAACCATATTTCTGTACAAAGGGAGATAACTCATTTTTTAAAAGACATTCTTTGTTAAATTTAATTGAAGAATTTTTTGGCAGGTTTGTTTGTTATTTAGTATAAACTAATTTTCTGAATGCTATATATATAAATAAAAATTATGAAGAGAAATCCTTTAATTAGATAATAATCTATTTTTATTAATGTATATATTTCAATACATTACATTGTGTAGATAAAAATTGTTGACATTTTATAGATAAGTTACAAATCCATATTAGATTGTGACAAATGAAAGAAAAAATATTTGGAACTATTAATTATATTTGATTATAATTTGAAAATAGATATACACTGTATTACATCATATCTAATTTTAGAGAACTATTAATCATATCTAATGTTTTTATAAGACCGCAAAAAAATTTTTGTGGTCGTATATTGGTATGACGTTGGCGTCGTCTTCGTCGTCGTCGTCTGGCGTCGTCCGGCGTCGTCCCAAGACACATTGGTTTTCGCACTCTAACTTTAGTTTAAGTGAATGGATCTCTATGAAATTTTACCACAAGGTTCAATACCACAAAAGGAAGGTTGGGATTGATTTTAGGGGTTATGGTACCAACAGTAAAGGAATTAGGGGCCAAAAAGGGGCCAAAAATAAGCATTTTTGTAACTTCCAGACATAACTTGTGTGTTAGTGTATGGATCTCTCTGACATTGTACCACAAGGTTCCATATCACAAAAGGAATGCTGGGATTGATTTTGGGGGTAATTGCCTCAAAATTTTAGGAATTAGGGGCCAAAAAAGGGGCAAAAAACAAGCATTTTTCTAGTTTCATGACAATAACTTGTGTGTAAGTGTATGGATCTTTCTGAAATTGTACTACAAGGTTCCATATCACAAAGGGAAAGCTGGAATTGAGTTTGGGGGTAATTGCCGAAACGTTTAGGAATTGGGGGCCAAAAAGGGGCCAAAAATAAGCATTTTTCTAGTTTCCAGACAATAACTTGTGTTCAAGTGTATGGATCTCTCTGAAATTGTACTGCAAGTTACCATACCACAAAGGGAAGGCTGGGATTGATGATGGGGGTAATTGCCTCAATATTTTCGGAATTAGGGGCCAAAAAAGGGCAAAAAACAAGCATTTTTCTAGTTTCAGGACAATAACTTGTGTGTAAGTGTATGGATCTTTCTGAAATTGTACTACAAGGTTCCATATCACAAAGGGAAAGCTGGGTTGGAGTTTGGGGGTAATTGCCCTAAACGTTTAGGAATTTGGGGCCAAAAAGGGGCCAAAAAAACACATTTTTCTAGTTTCCAGACAATAACTTGTGTTCAAGTGTATGGATCTCTCTGAAATTGTACTGCAAGGTACCATACCACAAAGGGAAGGCTGGGATTGAGTTTGGGGGTGATGAATCATAAGGGGGTTCAAAAAATTTGGGGGGGGGGGGATTTTTTTTTTTTTTCCTTTTTTTTTTCTTTTAAAATTTTCCATTTTAAGTTGGTTATTTCTGATTTATATTTAAAAGCAAATAATAATGATATGGTAGGAGATACACACCAAACAGGATGTGTAAATTATTATATAATAAGTATTGTGCAATAGCAAGAAATTTTCAATTGCACAGTATTGCACAATAGCAAGAAATCTTCAATTGCACAGTATTGCGCAATAGCAAGAAATCTTCAATTGCACAGTATTGTGCAATAGCAAGAAATATCCAATAGCACAATATTGCACAATAGCAAGAAATTGTCAATTGTACAGTATTGCGCAATAGCAAGAAATATTTAATTGCACAGTATTGTGCAAAAGAAGATACTTCGTATAAATTGCTTATTTCTTGACCAATTTCAATGGGGTTTTATTCTTGAATTCTTGGGGTTCTTTAATATGCTGAATCTAACCGTGTATTAAGTTTTTGGATTTTGGGCCCCGTTTTTAAATTGGTCCACATTGAGGTCCAAAGGGTCCAAAATTAAACTTTGTTTGATTTCATCAAAAATTGAATTATTGGGGTTCTTTGATATGCCGAATCTAACGGTGTATTTAGATTCTTAATTTTTGGTTCCGAGGTCCAAAGGGTCCAAAATTAAACTTAGTTTGATTTTAACAAAAATTGAATTCTTAGGGTTTTTTGATATGCTGAATCTAAACATGTATTTAGATTTTTGATTATGGGCCCAGTTTTCAAGTTGGTCCAAATCGGGGTCCAAAATTAAACTTTGTTTGATTACAACAAAAATTGAATATATGGGGTTCTTTGATATGCTGAATCTAACCATGTATTTAGATTTTTGATTTTTGGGCCCCGTTATCAACTTTGTCCACATTGAGGTCAAAAGGGTCCAAAATTAAACTTTGTTTGATTTCATCAAAAATTGAGTTCTTGGGGTTCTTTGATATGCTGAATCTAACCATGTATTTAGATTTTGGATATTGGACCATAATAGGTGAATGTCCAATTTAAAATTTTTAAGTTCTTAGACCACATTCATTCTGTGTCAGAAACCTATGCTGTGTCAAATATTTAATCACAATCCAAATGCAAAGCTGTATCAAGCTTGAATGTTGTGTCCATACTTGCCCCAACTGTTCAGGGTTCGACCTCTGCGGTCGTATCAAGCTGCGCCCTGCGGAGCATTTTATTTCACTCATATAATCAGTTTTCCACACTTTTTTTTGTCATGCTTGAAGATATTGACATGATATTTACTTTTTGTTCACAAGTTATAGAACAAGTTAGCATTTTGTTCCAATAAAATGAATTTTTACCCGGTAGGGGACTATGTATTGCCATGCAATACTCTCAGAATGCTTGTTTAAAATAAATTACCTAACATGATCATGATAAATGAATAACACTTTTTATTGAATTATACATATAGGGATTTACTCATTCCATAGCTGTCTAAAGACATATTCACCACTACACCTAACCTTAGTTTATTTATATTCTGAACTTTGCGTAAACTCTTCTTTTGAGAACCAATATTTAAATTGAGGAAAAAGTGACAGGGAAGTAAATTTGTTTGTGATTGATTTTTCATCGTAGAAATTGAAAAAGAACACTGAAATGGGTGGACAAAATATTTTTTCAGCTGAAGCCCCTTTCCCTTCTTTGTAAATCTTTTATAATCCCAATCCCTGGTCTGAATTGCAGAGTAAACACAAAGATGTTTTGTAGCTTTATTGGTAATGTGTGGTTTTTATAAAGTTTTGTTTATATAAGTTTAACCCTGTGTATCTTAGCCTTCTTGTCTTTTTTTACCAATGCATTACACCCAATCCATAAAACCTCATTTTTGTCAATACTAAGACTCCAAGGTAATTCTATTCCTAAGCTTTTTTAACAACCTTACATGCAATAACCTCCCCAGCAGGATTTAATACATGTATAGCATGATTCAATGAATCAGAAACTAAAATCGTGTCTGTAGAGGTAATTGCCAAATCCTTTGGATGCAATTTAGCCTGACCAGAGTTGATACTATTACAGCCATTGTAGGTCCAATGGAATTGTCCCCCATAATCTAACATTACTACCCTACCCTCAAATTCTTTGTTTATAAAATCTACAACTACTATCTTATCATTGTAAGAATTGATTCTACAATGAAATGTCAGCAGTCTCTGATTGTTCCTATTATATTCAACAGTATGTTGTATGTCACCGTCTTGGTTCATAACCGAAAGTTGTCTGACTTTCTTTCGTTGGGGGGAATGTCACAGAAATATATATTCTCTCAATCCTATTATAAACTTATTTTCTTTGGTTATATGACTATTTTGAAAATAAGTAAAAAAAATAAATAAGTAGCATTTTTCACTGACAATTTTATTCTGGTTTCATATATCTTTTTTCAAAAATTTATTGCTGTGAAAAAAATTAAAAAAAACGAAGATAAAAAAAATCATTCAACTTTGGGGATTATACTATTCTTTCAAGAACCATTGGGTCTAGTAAATTAGGACATGACATAAAAGAAGAGTTTTAGAAGTGTAATATCCAACTACAACTAATAAGATTTTTTCTAACTAACAAAATAAACAATACAAAACTGTACAAACAAATTACATAGACAAAAAAAAAACAAATTACATAGACAAAAAACTGTTATCCTTTTTAACATGCCTCCTCCCAAGTAAGCTTTTAAATTGTTAGTACAGTGAAGAACTCTTTTACTTAGCACATGTAATGAAGAAAAAAACCCTATTAAATATAAAAATAAAACCAGTTCATGCACAACTTTTATGGTTGTAATTCTTATCATTACGTATCTCACTTATGCCATAATCAATAGTCTTCAATAGAATATTAAGAATAAGAATATTTATTATTCCAATCAAGGGCCCTTGATGGGCAGCATGACATGTACACATAAAACAATACATCATGATTTGTAACAGAAAAACATATTTTTTTATACATTGAAATTATCACATTCTTCACAAGAAAGAATAATGTCAAATTTTTTTTCATTACTTGACTTAAAACA